AAAGAGAAAATAATAGTATAAAGGAGTAAGTGGAATTACACAGTTATAAAGTTATTATATTTAACATGAAGCAGAACAATATTTACACTAAGTAGACTGCATTAAGTTAAGGATTCATACTATAATTCTGAGGAACTAAAAATCTTCAAAATAAACCCACTAGTAAGTGTCATTGACATGTTTAAATCTTTTCTCAATGCCAGCCAACATCTAAGTCAGTAAAAGGAACTCTATAAGGTATAAAAATAATTTGGTAAAGGTAAATAGCTCTTTTTAATGATCTGGCATGAAACAAGGATAAAACTTAATGCATTTTATATCCCTGAGTGTTATTTTTTGAATCTAAACTTTTGATGAGGTCTAACATCTAATATATCCTTGAATTGGTATGCCTGTGGTGTTAGCTGTAACCTTTCCTTGGAAAAACCTGTGTTACAAATATGGAATTTTCTTCTTATTTTATTTACCTTTGCCTCTGATATTTTGGACCAATGTTTATTTACTTCATGTGTATTTTTGTATCAGGGCCAAAAAAACCCAAAGAGAATGTTAAAAATGCAAACTATTTAATAGGCCTTAGAATGGCTATTGAAAACATTTTAAGTAACAACTAAATGATATAGAGATTCCATTATTTAGCAAAAAAAAAATTTTTTTCCAAAGAGTAGCACTTCTTATTCCATATAATAAGATCCAACCCACTAATCCTTCGGAAAAATGTCTGTTCTACAAATTATACACCTCAAATCCAATAATCTGAGTTGGTGACTTGCTTCCACATTGATTAATACCATAGGGTTCCATCCATTACACATATAATTCTATTGTTTATTTAAAAACCCAGCAAATGGCAATGTAACACTTTTGAAGATAATAAAAAAGAGTAATATGAGAGCATGTAATTTTTTTCTTTGTTAAAGAAGGTTCTAGCTTCATGCCTTCAATTTTATTTTCTTTTTTAACAGAAACAAGAGCATGAAACAGAAGATGATCCCACAGTTTTTTCTCTTGGCAACGATTGCCTTCTGCTGCATTGCTTGTCCTTAAAGTTTCTACCTCTAATCAGATTTGACTAGGAACTAGAAATACTGATACATGAGTCAAAATAAAAGGGATAGAATTATAAAAAGAGTACATTTAAACTCTCTCTATTAGAAAAGAACACTAAAACAGAACTTAATAAGAAAACCTGAGCCTTGAGATCATATCCAGGGGTTTGAATTGTTTAGCCCATTATTCTAAGTGGGCCCAATGAATATAATTTGGTCAGGGGTCTCTTTTTTTTAAATATGTTGATTCTCTTTGAATTCCAGTCAAAGCAGCCTGATTTCTGAGATTGGCTTGTTACTTTTTACCTTCGTTTTGAATCATCTATTGCTGCCTTGTTAGGCCTGAGATTCATCAGACTTGATTTCTCATTACTTCTTACTATCAACTGTAATTTATCTCATTTATCCCAAAGTTCTATCCAGCTCAAGAGACTATTTTGTGGCCCAAGTACATCTCTAGGTGAATGTATAAATGGTTTAAAGGTTGGTAAGAGTATGCACTACTCTTAATGCAATATCTCACAAGGACACTAGTGATAGATATTTGATGCAGGAAAAAGGACTTGGTGCTTATTCTTATCATATTTACTGATAAAATAGATGAAGGACATTGAATGTGATACTTATTAACATATACAGGCCTCATAATGATTGCTAATACAAACAGAAGAATAGAATTCAAAATGAGTGGCTTAATTTTTTAAAAAATGGTGCCCTTCAAAGTAAAAATTCTGTACAAAAAATTCAAGTAATGTCACACACACTGTCAAAAACGAAATCTAACTCAAAGGGCAAAGGCAAAATCAGAAGGCAGTGAAAGGCTAAGCAGAGAAAATGGATAAAACCAAATAACAAATATTCCAATGTTAGAACAGGTTGAAAATAATAACTGCCAAAAATGCATATTTCCGAATTCGAAATGGATTTTGGGACGTATGGGTGGCTCAGTCAGTTGAGCGTTTGACTCTTGATTTTGGCTCAGGTCATAATCCACAGTTTGTATTTTTGAGCCCTGTGTGGGACTCCATGTTGACAGCATAGAGTCTGCTTAAGAGTCTCTCTCTCTCTCTCTCTCTCTCTCCCACTTGCGCATTCTATCTCTCAACATGGATTCTATCTTAAAAATTCTCTCCTCAGGACAATGCTTGCAAAGAGATTTTAAAGTTTGCAATTTACTTAACTCTGATTCTCAAATTATTGTATTATAGTAACCACAAGAGTAAAACAAGTGGAGAATATGTAGATATCAAGAATAATCAAAGAATAAACCATAAGCAAGAGTAATCTTAGACCGCTCAGCCACGCTACCTGCCAATAAGCAAGAGTAATCTGTAATTACAAAAGAAATGTGGACAGGAGTTTGAGTTATGGATTGCTCTTGGGGCAGATAACAGGAAAAGAGTCTGGATAAAATTAAATAAAATATATAAAATGATCACAGGATCTCAACCTGAAAGCATCACAGGCCACAGTCTCACTAATAAAAATAGTTTCCTTGTCTTAGAAACTACATACAAAAAGAGGATACGTGACTTGTAACCTTATAAACATCCAAAATCCAATTTGAATCTTTAAAAAGAATGTTTTCGTTGAGGAATAACATTAATAACTATACGGTTTAATATTAAAATACAACTGAAAATCCACTAAGAGGAATAATACATTCCACTGTGTTCCTGGCTTATTCATTTCTTCCTGGTTACTTAACTGTCTCATCTCCCCTAGATGTTGTGTCTGTTCACTGTTTTAAGATCACCGTGATTATTGTTTAGCAAATTTCTTCCTGTCCCCACTAATACAAAATATATTAGGTTTTTTTTGAAGTTTTTTTTTTTTTAACATTTTGATTCATTATTGAGAGACAGAGCATGAGCATTGGAGGGGCAGAGAGAGGGGGAGACACAGAATCTGAAGGAGGCTCCAGGCTCTGAGCTGTCAGCACAGAGCCTGACGCGAGGCTTGAACTCACAAACCGCGAGATCATGACCCGAGCCAAAGTCAGATGCTTAACCAACTGAGCCACCCAGGCGCCCCAAATACAAAATATTTTAGATAACCTGCTTTTCCAAAAGACAATGCCTAAACTATTAAGGAAATCAGATTAGGTCACCAAATGTATAAGGGATATAAGATGCTACAATGGAACATATTCATTTGAGAGCTTCTTTCTTAATCCCTTCCCTAATCTAACACTTTCCCAAACACTTTAATAAGTCCCTTTTAGCTTTCTTTCACTGACAAGCCCACTTTTCCAATGGGTCGGCCTCCTTTTCATTCCCACAGGTCAATAAATACAACTTTGTTGGACTAAAAAAAACTATCATAACTATAGAAAAGAGACAATTTAAAGGAATTTTATAATCAGGTATATCCTAAGACTTTGGGACAAAGGAAAACACTATCAGTTTTATTTGCTGGTTTTATCTGTCTAGTCATTGATTTTTTTTTAAGTTTATTTATTGAGAGAGAGAGAGAGAGAGAGAGAGAACTGCAAGTAGGCTCTGCACAGAGCACAACGTGGGGCTGGAACCCACAAACTGTTAGATCATGACCTAAGCCGAAGTCAAGAGTTGGATACTTAAGTAACTCAGCCACCCAGGTGTTCCTGTCCAGTCATTATTGATCTGTAGATGATCAGGCCACATGGATGAGCAAGATGCAGAAAATGCTGAGATATAGGCTGAGTCCTCAGGGGGTTTACAGTCTTATCAGGAAGATAAGACAGGCTAACTTGAGACCGATAAGGATCTGATTACACCAGGAGTTCCAAGTGGGATAGAGAAAGGAGCGATCATTTCCATAAGAGAGGGATCAAGAAGGCTTCAAGGTGGGGGGTGGAGATGGTATTTCGAGGAAAACATTTCTGGAAAGTTAATAACAGTAGCAGGCAAGTTCAAGAGATAGCAGCATCACAGTTAGGTTGGGGTTAAAGGTTAGGCACCTGGAAAAATCTTAAGATGTTAAGGCACAGTTTGAACATGATGGTATAGGATCCGACCATTCAAGGTCTTCCTTAGCTGTTTAAAGTATTTGAAATGCATCTTACTGACAACGAGAGGAAATGAAAGTTATCAGAGTATGAAAATTGGATTATCAAGGTAGTTTCTAAAGATAATGAAACAGGAAGCAGAGTACAAGAAATGAAGGTGGTAAAGGAGATGAAATGGGTACAAGATGATCAGATAACAGACAAGTGTCCGGGGACACTGAAGGAAGGAAACCACTCTGGGCCAAAAAAATAAAGATTATTTTCTGTGATGAAAAAAAGAACATTTAGGAATACTGAACTATTTATCATCATGTGTAACTGAGGCTTGTACTTTGTGTTGTTAACCTTCGGTTGAAAACTATATTATCTTTCACTAAGAATCTAATGACAAATCCTCTTTTAAATGTTATTCTAAATCCTTTTTGAAATATGTGCAGAGTCTCAAAAAAAAAAAACTGGAAATGTTTTCTGGTTGCCTAAAAAATGTTAGAAAAACTTGCGTTTCAAAATGTCAACTGCAGGATGAACTTCTAGAGAAAAAAACTTTATAGAGAGTTCCCTTCCTTTTCCTTTTAACCCAAGTAGTCTCTGTCTATTTTTCAGTATGTTTTTTTCTACATCTTTTAAAATTAACCCTGAGTGATGAATGGCAGGCGTGGAAGGAAAGGGACTGGAGAAATGGTCAGTTTGTGAAGAGTTCATTATTTTTACCTTATTTTGCAGAGTGTCATTCTAAATAAGTGCTAGCCTGGAGAAGATTTTTACTGTTTTGAACCACAGGCTTTATATTACCTTAAACACACACACACACACACACACACACCCTCTGAGCTGCAAGTTAGATGCTTCTGGCAGCAATACAAATCTAGCACCACCCAGGGAGGGAGCGTATTTGCTTCTCCGCTCACTTCTAGCAGGGTGGAGGAAGGCTGGACATGGACAGACAACAAGAAAAGGTGTCCAGAGCATCACCAAACTGCTCCCCTGTCCCGCGCCTTGCGTCTCCTCCGGGAACACACAGGTAAGTTACACTAAGGTGCCGATTCAAGTGGAGCACTGAGCCCATGGCAAGCAAGCCAGGAAAGTCAAGTGCGATGCGCTCAAGGTGCCTAATAGTCTCAGCACCTGCAGGGAGCTCTACTTGGCCTGGCTTAGGTCGTAAGGTTCTCAATGGATCCAATAATTCCTAAAAAGGTCCGTCTGTGCCTTATTATTGGTTACATCTTTGTATATCACTTTGCAGCATGCGTTCTGAGAAACTATAAAAAAGACATCAAAACAGCAACTGAATGTTTTGTTTTGTTTTGCAAATCTGTGACTAGTTGTTAATCTGTTATTCTTTCGTATCCAGAAATGATTAGATCTTACAGCCATCTTTACTGCTGGAAAATGAAATATCATATAAAGTTTCGTTCTCATGGTCAGTGTTTTCAAATGCTACAAATGGATAAAATGTAGGACCTCACATTAGACAGCAAACTGAAAAATTACAGGGATAAGATTTTCCTATAATATGGCAGTAGTCTCTAAATATAAAGCTCAATGTTATGAATTCGGGTTCTTAATGAAGTTTTTATATCACAAATTCTGTTTCCACTTAGATGTCAGAAACTGAGCTGGAAAAGATAAAAGTCAGAACAGCTGAGCATTTTGAAAATGATAAAAATAACATTTCTTGGTTAAAGGAAGGTAAGTCCTTCCACTGTCGATTTTCTATCAATGTGAAAAGCTGTGCTATTGTTTATTAGCAAGACATAGAGTGTGGGGGAAGAAGGAAAATGTCCCAGCAGCTCAAATATTTGTACTTCTGTTTTGCTTTCTTTCTTTCTTTCTTTCTTTCTTTTTTTTGGCCTACGTGGTAGTTTGAGCATCTTTAGTATTGAAATATTTTTTATAGTCCCTCTGCTGCAGTATATGCTGACAATTTTGTTGATAAGACAGTATACATTTTCAACCCAGATACACGTAATATGTGAGGCTCTTATACTGTAGAATGTTCTCCTTTACAGCCAAGAAGACTAAATAATTTGAAGTATTTTTAAAATAATAATCACAGAAGGAAACGCATGCTGTAGGAAATAAGGTCTACAAATAGAATCACCATTCACTGCAATTAGAGAAGCCACCTTCCCAGGGGAGACGGCTGTCAGCCAGGGGCCTCACGCGGGTTAGATGATTGCTTGAAATACACACACAAATCGATACGTTCTCCTAAGATGAGTACAAATTTGTGCACTTCTGAAAATATGTATAAACTCATGATTATTTACTAGAAGGCTCGGCTTTATAATCTTTTCATTTCAGGAGTTTCTTTAAGGCCTCTTAAAGGAAACTGACTTAACATTTTATCTAAGGAGCTATGTGTCTTTCACACTACTGCATGAATCTATTCAATTGCAAAGAGACTCTTAAGTAGTTGCCTTCCACAAAATTGTTTTATAAGGTCATGGGAGATTTCAATGTTTATGTCAGGAAGGCTCTGGAACACCAGGACAACAGTCAGGACATCAACCATACCGACAATGCGTGTTGATGATTATGCTGACTCATCGTTACCACCCCCATGATGCAGTAACTATTCCTAATTTTGAGATGAGAAAATAGAATTACAACGAGTTCAAGTAAAGTTGCCTCAAATCACAAAATTAGGAAGTGGCAGAGCTGGGCTTTGATCCCAGAGAGTGTGACGCTGTGGTACGTGAATTTCAACCTTGCACCGTGGTTCAAAGGGATTATATTTAAGTCACTTGTCAAGGCATGTGAATGCTCAGATGTTTTCCTACAGTGTTTAAATCAACACCTCTACCTTCACATCCCCCCCTACCACCACCACCACCATCCACTCAAGCTTAAACCCATCCTCGTTTAAACAGGATTGACCTTTTAAAAGATGATCATTTCTTCAGCCCGATGACCCAATAACCAAAATTAATAGGTGGAATTCATCTCTACCGGAGACTTGATTTCAAGATAAAAGCTGGTAAAAGTCATAAAGTATTCTCGAAATTATGTCCTTCAAAAAGCCACAAGGCAAGAAAATTCTCTAACTTCTCTTTATTAAATATTTTTCATTATATAATTATATAGTTTTTAAAATATAACTTACTGTCAGATTGGTAAACATAGAGTGTGGACAGTGTGCTCTTGGTTTTGAGGGGTAGATTCCTGTGGTTCGTCGCTTACATACAACCTAGTACTCATGCCAACAAGTGTCCTCCTCCACGCCCATCACCCATTTTCCCCTCTCCCCCACCCCCATCAACCCCCAGTTTGTTCTCTGTATTTAAGATTCTCTTACGGTTTGCCTCCTGCCCACTCCGTTTGTAACTCTTTTTTCCCCTTCCCCCCATGGTTAAATATTTTTAAATAGGATGTTTTAAGTAGTATGGAAGGAAAAACTTGAACTTGGGTCAAAGACTCCCCCGTTTGTTTTTCTGGTACACCCCAAATCCATGAAGACCCAGGAGTTCATCACTACTACTTACAGTGAAGTTTATATTATTTATTTTTGCTTCAGTTGCTCCAGGCTACAGATGTCTCACAGAGAAGTAATGGTAAAATTGATAGAATAGTCAATTGTCTCCTGAAGAATTTAAAAAAAACCCTGCATCCATTAAGTACGATTTAGGTATTGAATTCTTGTAATCTATAAAATCTAATTTCCCAGGTGACCTGTTCTATCTCATTTGGACACTTCATTTAAGCTATACTCAAATTATGTTTACTATATTTCATAAAAGGAAATTGAGCCAGATGCTAGATGACAACATCTTAATTGGGAATTATCAGGATGAGTTAGTTTTCAAACGTAAATGCCTCTCTTTCTTTTTTAATGTGAAGAGAAAGTATATGTCTTAGCTTGTTTGTTGTTTTTTCTTTTCTTTTCTTTTTTAAGGCAAATTGGTGCAGTAGGAAGAACAGAGCATTTGAGGTCAGACAGGCGTGCTTTTTAAATCTCAGCTCAGCCTCTTTACTGTGTGACTGTGGCATGTAACTTAACATCTCTGAGCCTCAGAGTACTTACTTAGCAAGGGACCATGACATCTACTTTGTGAGAGTGTGTGAATGAGATTTTATTATTACTGTGGGGTTCCCCCCCTTTTAAAGCATGATTCAAAATAATGTAACTATTATTTTTTGAGATCTTGATTCACATGTTGAACAATCTGTAATAGTAACAGCACTGTCTCCTTTTATAATATTTTCTAAATTCCTTCATTTAGCCCCTACACCAATTTGCTGTGTGACAGCATCGTCCCCATTTTACAGATGGAAGGACTGAAGTTCAGAGAGACTCTGGATCTTTCTCAGCCTTGCAGAGCAATTAAGCGGCAAACTGAATCTTGAGCCCAGTTCCCAATTCCGTTCCTCGCCTTAAACAATTTTGTCACAGTGACTTCCCCAATGGCTATTGATCCATACAGTGTTATCAATCCTTCACTTTAAAAGATCATGAAATCAATGTGATAAAGTTGCTCCAAAGGTTTTTTTTTTTCCACGAACGACAAAAATGGTTCCTTCTTACATCACAGTGTCTCTTGCCTTTCCCTGCAACTTCGACTGAATGCTCCCTGTGGTTGCAACATAGGAAAGCATAGCAATGCCTTAGTAGGGTGGGAGCTAGCCTGCGCTGGGATAATCTAGATAATCTACAGAAAGCACTGAATGCATGTCTGACTTCAGAGTGAGCATGTGACCAGCAGGGGTCATCACCATGGATGCCAGCCTGAGAACTGATACTCTTTCTAACTTCTCAGCTTCAAAAATTAATGCAGTTTATTCAATGCGATTCATCATTTTTAAAAATGCTTTATTTATTTTTAAGAGAGAGAGAGAGAAAAACAGCGTGTGAATCGAGAAGGGGCAGAGAGAGAAGGAGACACAGAATCTGAAGCAGGCTCTAGGCTCTGAGCTGTCAGCACAGAGCCCGAAGGCAGGGCTTGAACCCATGAACCATGAGATCATGACCTGAGCCGATGTTGGACTCTTAACCAACTGAGCCACCCAGGCGCCCCTGATTCAACATTTATTATGAATGGAATTACTGGAGATGAGGCGCGAGCGTGGTAGAGAACTATTTTTAAAAAAGCAAACAGCAAAACAAACAAGGCCCTCCACTTGCAGGAGTTTATCTAATTGTCTTGCTTTTGTCCAAAAGATGAAGAGGCTCTTAGTTAGCTTCTCCCTTCCCAGAAGATCTGGATCTTCTCCCCCATGGGGATGGATCCATGACTACAGGCCTCAGAAATGGTGTCTAAGACCTGGTGTAAGCCACACCCAGAACTATTATCAACAATTAGGGTAGAAAGTATTTGGGACACGTACTAGCAGACCTGACAATTCACTCCTTGTAAAATTAATTGAATCTTACTTTATTTTCTATCCTACCAACAAGCAAGCTTGTACTGCTCTTAGTCATCAGGCTTTTAAATTCTAGATTTTTCGGATGTTAGATTTATCAGATTCCTGGGCCCCAGCTTAAAGAATTCAGGAGTATATAGGTGAAGCCCAGGAATCCATGCTTAAGAGCAAGACAGGTGATTCTGAAATAAGATGTGCACAGACCGTACATGGAGAAACTCTATTTTAAGACCATGGGAGAAACAAAATATAATGAAATATGTACAAAACCAAATGAACTGTAATGTACAAGTGTGCATCAAGATAGCTGAGAAAGGAGGTCCGAAAGAAGCTGGTGATCTATTTGTACAAGGGGAGAGGCGGAGGTAGCGCGGGAGCAGAGGCATCAGGGATGGAAGAAGCCAGCTTTGGTGAAAGGCATATGGGCAGGCTGGCTAGTTATCTGTGTATGAATTAACGCAAACTGGGGGAACAAAGAGACTTAAGTTCTGACTACAGGTTAAGTAGTTGGACACAGATCCTGGGTTGTCACCGCAGGTCTGATGGCAGGGACTAATAGACTGAAGCGTGATTTGGGAATATAAATCTGTCACTGAAGTGCAGAGTGGGAAGAGACAGTTAGAGGAAAGCAGGAGGGTTGGTGATGGCTAAGACAGCGATGCATTCATTCAGTAGCCCAGAAGTGAGGAAAACAACCTGGATAAAAGTCATAACAAGGAGAGGAAGAAAATGGGCCCCAATGTGAAAAATTTTATGAAGGAAAAATTGATATAACACAGAAATTGGGGGGGGGAAATTACAGGTGGAATAAGATGGCGTGTAATACCCCATTAAGCCAGGGAGCATTCTGGGTAAGCATTTTAGTGCTTGTACCTTACACCATTTGATACGGAAGAGAAACATCAAAATGAAGGGATAGAAGCCTCTAAATTGTTGCCATTTGCAGTTTAAAATCACAGCATTGCCAGTGTTTGAACGGCACACAATTTTTTACAGTGTCTCCTGATTTTTCAGGAGAAGGTAGAAATCTGAATGTCTGTGTGAAATCTCCAGATTTCTGAAAATGAAGTGAAAACAACAGCAACAATATTAAGGCATGAAGCAGGACAGATGAAGACATGTTCTATAGGACCATCTTAGCCCAGAGGCTATCTGTTTATAACTTCTGTCCTAAGTGCTTGTATCTCTAAACAAAATCTATTCCAAGTTGCTAAAAAGCACTTTTCCATAAATATTGCTGCCTTGGCATACATACATATAAATAAACACACATATTGATATGTATGAGCAAAGACAAATGTTTGACCTAGGAAATATAAAATTAAGAC